TCAAGTGATTGGCCCTCCCCATGGTTTTGGCTGCTCAGCTGGGAGGAATCAAACCATGGCAAAGGAGCTCTTGAACTCCACAAGTAATCTACAAGGTGGGGATGCACGGGGGAGCAATAACACTCGTGTGCTGGATCGGGGCTGTGGCCTGGTATTGCTCAGCTAGTACTTTTCCTGTTTTTTGCCATCAAGTCACAGCTGATTGGTGACAACCCTGTAGGGTTTTCAAGGCAAGAGACCTTCAGAGGTGGTTTGCCATTGCTTGCCTCTGAGTAGCGACCCTGGAATTCTTTGGTGGCCTCCCATCCAAATACTAACCAGGGCCGATCATCCTTAGCTTCCAGGATTTGATGAGATCAGGCCAGTCTGGGCTGTCCAGGTCAGGCCAGCTAGTACATTTGTTGTTGTTGTTCAGTCGCACAGTCGAGTCCGACTCTTTGCGACCCCATAGACCAGATCACGCCAGGCCAGCTAGTACATAGACCTGTTTTATTCTTTATTAAAATAGTTACACTGTGTAGAAAACCAGTGTGTTTGAGCCAGAAGCAAAGGTGCTCCTGAAGAAATAGAAGCGAAGAAGAAGAGATTGGATTTATACCCCGACCTTCACTCAGAGTCTCAGAGCGGCTTACAATCTCCTTTCTCTTCCCCTCCCCACAACAGACACCCTGTGAGGTAGGTGGGGCTGAGAGAGCTCCTTCAAGAACTGCTCGTGAGAGAACAGCTCTGAGAGAACTTGTAACTGATCCAAGATTGCACCAGCAGTTGTATGTTGAGGAGTGGGGAATCAAACCCAGTTCTCTCAGATCTGCGCTTCTAACCACTAGACAAAAATAATCCCATGTAGTCTAAAATGAGGCCCAGACAGGGGTTCGATATCTCCCTGCCCTCTCTAAATCAGTTCCCAAGGGGTAGCAGTCTTAAATGGAGTTATGCTCTGCTTAGAATTGCACTGTAAGAATCACAAGTCATTGGACATACACTTGAGGTGTGCCTGGGAGTTGAACAGACTCAATGTAGCCATTTGAGTTGTCTTTGTGGCACAGGGGCCTCCCTCACCCACCCAGCAGTTACATGCTGAATCACCCCTTATTGGGAGAACTGCTGCTTCAAAATAGTAAGCCCAAAGTCTTGCTGGACATACAAAGGTGACTACCTCGTGATGGTACAATAGGAGTTAAAACTGTGCATCCAGTATAGATTATTGACACATTTAATAGCCATTCTCTCTTCCCAGGAAACCTTGGGAAATGTAGTTCTGTAAAGGGAGACCATGGACGACTTCTTGGAATTACGTTGAGTCTTGCAGACACACTTGTTTCAATTAAAAAAATCCATCCCTGCTTGGACTGAAATGGCGGTCATCTTTTATTCCCTAACCATAACTGTGAAACTTGGTAAAAATATTGCTATTAAAATGACTGCTCATTTTTCATCATTTGTGTAAAAATGGTGTACACAAATGCAGTAAAAGAATGAGATGAATCAGAAGCACCAGCAATGAATACAGGCAAAATGAAAAGGCTTGCGATGATGGCACATGAAAATGAAAAGGAATGAGAAAGAGCAGATGGGGCAAGGCAGTGAATAGTGCAGTAGTGCAAGCCAGTGAATAGAAAATCTTGCCGCATCTTAGATTTTGTTATCAGACACATAGTGGTGTGAGCTCCTTGTCCCTCACAGTATTCAGCTGGAGCTCTCCCCTGTCTCTCTCTCGCTCTCTCTTTTTTTAATATAAGTTTATTTGTACGTTTTCTATTACATAAAATAACAGAGTAATACATATACATTTGTTGGAAGTACAAATGGAAGATCGTCTAACAGTTTTTTTCCACCCAGTTATAAACTGGCTGCCATCTATTTTGAAAAGTTGTCTCATCTTTTCCTGAAAGAGTCGTATTCAGTTTATCAAAATCAGGTATTTCAATAATTTATCCCTTAGCTCTTCTTTATTGGGTATTGTATCCTTTTTCCATTGTTTTGCAATTAATATTCTCGACATGGTAAGTATATACAGTATGATTATTAAATCATCTCATTTAATGCCATCCGGTGTGATATTGGGTTTTGGAATTCATAAAATTTAATGTTTTATCTTTAGTAAATCTGGATTTTAATTGAATTTTTTCCCAATTTGTGAGATTTATATTTTTTGTTTCAAGTATTTCAAATTGTTTCAGTTCATTTTTTTCTGTTAATAGTGTTTCATATGTCACTTTTTTACTATTATCTAATAATGC